TAACATTATATTAATTTCAGGTGTCCAACATAATGATGTGATATTTGTATATATTGTGATATGAGCACCACAATAAATATAGTTAACATCCCTCACCACGCATAGTTACAAATTGTTTTTCTTGTGATGAGAACTTTTTTTTTTTTGTGAGGAAGATCAGCCCTGAGCTAACATCTGCCAATCCTCCTCTTTTTGCTGAGGAAGACTGGCCCTGAGCTAACATCCATGCCCATCTTCTTCCACTTTATATGGGACGCCGCCACAGCATGGCCTGACAAGCAGTGTGTCGGTGTGCACCCGGGATCTGAACCGGCAAACCCCGGGCCGCCTCAGCGGAGCGCGCGCACTTAACCACTTGCGCCACCGGGCCGGCCCCGTGATGAGAACTTTTAAGATTTATACTCTTAGCAATTTTCAAATATACAATACAGTATTATTAATATAGTCACCATGCTGTACATTACATCCCCATGACTTCTTATTTTATAACTGAAGTTTGTACCTTTTGACCCCCTTCACCCATTTCACCCACGCCCCATCCCCTGCCTCTTTCTGGCAACCAGCAATCTATTCTCCGTATCTTTGGGTTTGATGTGTGTGTGTGTGGTTTTTTTTTAGATCCCACATGTAAGAGAGATCATACACTATTTGTCTTTCTCTGTCTGACTTATTTCACTTAGCATAATGCCCTCTAGGTTCATCCATGTTGTTGCAAATGGCAGGATTTCCTTCTTTTTTATAACTAAATTATATTCCATTCTCTCTTTCTATATATATACCACATCTTCTTTATCCATTCATCCATTGATGGAACTTCGATTGTTTCCACGTCTTGGCTATTGTAAATAATGCTGCTGTAAACACAGGGGTGCATATATCTTTTTGAGTTAGTGTTTTGGTTCCTTTGGATAAATACCCAGAAGTGGAATTGCTGGATCATATGGTAGTTCTATTTTTAATTTTTTGAGGAACTTCCATACTGTTTTTCATAGTGGCTGCACCAACTTACATTCCCACCAACAGTGCATAAGGATTTCCTTTTCTCCACGTCCTCACCAACACTTGTTATTTCTTGTCAAATTTTTGATAATAGCTATTCTGAAAGTTGTGAGGTGATATCTCATTGTGGTTTTGATTTGCATTTTCCTGATGATTAGTGATGTTGAGTATCTTTTCATGTACCTGTTGACCATTTGTATGTCATCTTTGAAAAAAGAAGGATCTATTCAGATCCTCTGCCCATTTTTAAATCAGGTTGTTCTTTTGCTATTGAGTTGTATGAGTTCTTTGTATTTTTTGGATATGAACCCTTATCAGATATATGATTTGCAAATATTTTCTCCCATTTGGTAGGTTGCCTTTTCATTTTGTTGATGGTTTCCTGTGCTGTGCAGAAGCTTTTTTAGTTTGAGGTAGTCCCACTTGTTTATTTTTGCTTTTGTTGTCAAATCCAAAAAAATCATTGGCAAGACCTATGTCAAACAGCTTACTGACTATGTTTTCTTCTAGGAATATTATGATTTCAGGTCTTACATTCAAGTCTTTAATTCATTTTGAGTTAATTTTTTGGTATGGTGTAAGATAGTGGTCCACTTTCATTCTTTTGCATGTGGCTGTCCAGTTTTCCCAAGACCATTTATTGAAGAGACTGCCCTTTCCCCATTGTATATTCTTGGCTCCTTGGTTGTAAATTAATTGACCATATATGCATGGGTTTATTTCTTCACTCTCGATTCTATTCCATTGGTCTATGTGTCTGTTTTTATGCCAACATCATCCTGTTTTTATTACTATAGCTTTGTAATAGAGTTTGAAATCAGGAAGTGTGATGCCTCTAGCTTTGTTCTTTCTCAAGATTGCTTTGGGTATTGGGAAGTGTTCTTTCTTCTTTGCTGAGGAAGATTGGCCCTGGGCTAACATCCGTGCCCATCTTCCTCCCACAGCACGGCTTGATGACTAGTGTGTATGACCACGCCCAGGATCCGACCCTGTGAACCCTGGGCCCCCAGAGCGGAGCACACAAACTTAACCACTACACCACCAGGCTGGTCCCTGCCTGTTGGGAAGTTTTCTTGAGACAGAAAAATCATCATCTCTTTCGTGATGCACTCTATTCCTGTTTCTTAAGGGAAACTCCAGCAGCATCTCCCTCAATAGCCCATCAAACCTCCCTGCGTAGACTCCTTGGAGAGGAGGAGGAAGGACACTGTTATCAACAAATGGTGCTGGAATAACTAGACGTCCATAGGCAAAAAAAGAACCTGGACCTATGTCTCAAATCTTATGCAAAATGAACTCCTAATGGATATTAGACCTACATGTAAAACATCAAACCCTAAAACTTTTAGAAGAAAACACTGAAGAAAATCTTTGTGAGCTTGGGTTAAGCAAAGAGTTCTTAGATAGACACCAAAAGCATGATCCATAAAGAAAAAATTAAAAATTGGACTTCATCAAAATTAAACTTTTGCCCTGTGAAAAACACTTTTAAAATAAAAACAAAAGCCACAGACTAGGGGTAAATATTTGCAAATCACATATGTGACAAAGGGATATATATCCAGAATATATAAATAACTTTCAAAACTTAACAAAATGGAAACAAACAGCTCAATTTAAAAACGGTCAAAACTTGCCAATAGACGCTTTACCAAAGAAGATATATGGGTGGCAAATAAACACAGGAAAAACGCTCAACATCATCAGATATGAGGGAAATGCAAACTAAAACCACAACAAGATACCACTACATACCTATCTAAATGGCTATAAAACCAAAGCAGAACAAAAAATGGTAATGCCAGGTGCTGGGGAGGACGCAGGGCAGCTGGAACTTTCATACGTTGCTACTAGGAACGCAAAACGGTGCAACCACTTGAGAAATAGTTGACAATGTCTTAAGAAGTTAAATATACCCTCACCATGTGACCCAGCAATCTCGCTCCTAGATATTTACTCAAGAGATATAATGACGCTTGTTCACACAAAACCCGTTAACAAATGCTTATAACAGCTTAATTCACAAAAACCAAAAATTGGAAACAGCCCAAATGTCCTTCAGATGAATGGATGAACAAAGTATAGTATATCTGTACAAGGAAATGAAAAGGAACTCAGGCATAATAAGAATCAAACTTCTATAGATCCAGCAACAAGGATGGATTGCAAGTGCATTACGCTACAAGAAAATCCCAGACTCAAAAGCTACATGCTGACATTCTGAAAACGCAGAATTCTAAGGATGGAGAACAGACAGCATTGCTTCTGGTTAGGGGTAAGGTGACTGCAAAGGAGCAGCATGAGGGTGACTTTTGGAATGATGAAAGCACTTTTGTATTCTGAATGTGGCAGTGGTGACACTGTATACATCTGCCAAAACACTTAGAACTGTACACTAAAAGAATGAATGTACTATAAATTAAAAATGAAAACAAATATTAGTAAAATAAGTAATTACATAATTTGTAATTTAAAGTCTCATAGCACATACAGCATTTCCTGTATCTGCTCTTTACATGGTTGCCAACTAACTGGAATGTGTATGTGTGTGTGTGTTTTCCTTTCAAAAGTTCAGTGTTGGATTTTCTAAAGAAATAGCAAAGTCTGGGAGCTGGGGTTTGGTGGCCATCTAGGCCTCAAAGAAAATCACACTGGAAAAGTTCCAAGTGACCTATTGTTAGGAGAGGAGAAAAGAAAAGCAAGCACAATTTTCCATTGTAAGAACTCTCTCCCAGGGTGTAAAGGTCCTTCTGACCTTCTCCTGGGGATTCTTAGCTATTTCCTGTTCTGAAGGCCAGGGCTCAGAACTTCCCCTCCCTTTTCCAAAGCCACAGGTGGGAATTTCCCAAGCCGGAGTCAGAGTTTCCCTCCCTCAAACCTTAACAAGCAGAGCTCTGAATAAGTAAAAATCCACCGGCAAGATCAAAGACATACAATAACAACAATAAAATGCAAAACCCTCCCATACCTAGTGAAATAAAATAAAACTAGAAAAAACAAACAAAACAAAAATTAACAATCTAGGCATAGAAATGGCGTTACAAAGGCCAGGGCAAAATATCACGCAAAAAATTTTTCTGAAGGGATGACTAAATTAAGAGAAAGGAGATTTCAGAAATGAGCCTAGTTCTTAAGGCTGCCCTGACCCTTCACCTCTGTGGGGGAAGAGGGAGAATCCCCCTCTGCCCTTTCCCTTAAGGCTCTTATGGCTGTCCAAATAATTAACAAGACAGGTTAGCAGGAGAAAATAATACCAAGTTTAATAACATGTATACATGGGAGAAACCAGGGACACTGAGTTTCTCAACACAGTGGCAGAGATTCTCGTCTTAAATACTATCTTCAGCTAAAGGCAAAGAAGGATGTTGGGGGTGGGTGGCTTTTTGGGATTTCAGAGGGGGAGAAGACAATTTACATGAAGAGGGAAATGTAAATATTTGTCAGACAATGCTTTGCAAGGCCACCTATAAAGAATGTGGCCGGAGAGACAGGAATTATAGTAATCAAGAGTATGTACATTTAAGTCTTCTTCTTCCGTCCTGATAAGAGTTTTCACAGATAAGGTCATCCCCCCTTCTTCCCACTACACAGAGGGAGATACCTTTACAAACGTAAATATTTGGTAAACAGAACTTTGAAAAGAATGGGCTTAGCGAGGACCCTGCCAGTCTGTCCACACCCAGAGTTAAATTCCTTTAGGCAGTTAGTGGGGGAGGTCAAATGTCCATCAGAGAAAATAATCAAGGTAAAGAGACATATTTCAGGGTGGCCAAATTTTGATCTCCCACACCTCCAGCCCCCAAAGCCATAGGGAGAACGAAGAGGGAGAGAGGCCAAAATGCTGGGGCGGAGGACACTCAGAAACACCTTCCCATTAGAGGAAAATAGACAGAGGTTATCAGCCCCTTTGGGAAGAGCTGCAGAAATTTTGACTGTCTTCCACGCCTCCACCATCTCAGGGTCTTACTGGAGTAGCGCGAAACCACCTGGCCTCAATGTTTTGACTTTTCCTGGCTTGGGAGCACAGCGAGAGAATGCAGACAGAACGGTCCCGTCATGGTTGCTCTCATTTTCTCCAGCCACAAATTCCACAGGGATTCAGAAAATAGATGACTGCTGTTGGGTCTGAAAAAATGAAGAATGTCTCCCCACCTAGAATGCTTCTAGTACTCACCCTTCTCCTGCCTGACGGTTGATGGTGAGCCTCTTGATCACCAGCTGCTTTGCCATCCAGAGTGGGCACTGCCTCATTGGTGCTGGGGAGCGTCCCCAGGAGTTTTGCCTGGAGCCTACAGCCAGGCCCCTGTAGGAACCATGGGGCAACAGGTCTACCAATGGAGATACCCTGACCTCTCCCTTAATTCCCCCCTCACCAGCCTGTAACAGCTCACAGGGATGTCCTGAGACCCTGGTGTTACAGAAGAAGTTATACAGAGAACTTAAAACAGCCAGTGTGGGGATTGGCCCTTGCATTCCCTAAGGGCCTTTTATGGTGCATGTGTGCATGTGTATGTGTGTGTTGTAGAAACTTTAAAATACTTGTAAAACAAACAACAGACAAAAAAACAACAGCAACAAAAAAACTCCAAATCTTCCATCAAATTAAATCACAAGGTTTAAAAAACAAACAAAACAGTACCCAAAGGCTTATCTTGAAGTCCCTCCCTCGCCTCTCCTACCCTCCCCCAAGTCAGACAGCTGTGATCTCTTGAGCTGATTTGTCTCAGCCATCTAGGCTTTTTAAAAGCCTCATAGTCAGTGTCTGACAAGACTGAGGGTTTCTGAGCCCCTCGGAGTCCAGGGGACTGTGCGTGAAGTCAAAGACTGAATTTGCAGCTCCTTCAAGGAAGAAGTCAGCAGAGCTGAGGGTGAGTGAATTAGCACAGAAGAGTCCAAGGCGGTGCAAGCGCACAGGTCTTACTGCTGCTTTCTGCATTGTGACCAGGGAGTGCTTTTGGAATATCTATTTCCTGTTTAAGAAGTGAGTCCCTTCTGGTTTTCATTCTCTGGTATTAAGACTGCCCTGAACCTCCTGTTCCCTCCCCCTACCGCCCTCCACATGAGCATCCTGGTCGCATGGGCCTCTGGCTACACCCAGTGTCAATTAGAAACAGGATTTCACCTGGCCAAAGGCTGTTTGACTATCTGGAATCCAAATCTCCTGACTCAATTTACATTTTTCCTGAATTCATCATGTAAAGCACAGAACAGACTTTCCCAATAGGCAGTACTGCCTCTAAAGGAAAGTCAGAATGCATGTATTTTCTTCTGGTTTGAGACGTTCCCCAGTTCTGAGCCCAGAGGGGAGCTTTCTTTTCAAGGTCATTGCACACAATTGGGCAGGTTGTTCACTGCACGAAGATGCTGGGCAGAGATGAGAGGGGCTGAAATCCAGCCTTCACTCCGCCTGCCCAGGTGGGTCCTGTAGGCTGCACCAGTCCAGAAGGGGCACAGATTTTTAAGTTGTCAGTCTAGAAGGGGAGCTTGCAGATTATAGAGACCCTTTTCCTATCCACTGCCCACAATACAACCCCCTTTGAAGAATTATAGGACCTCTCATTGCACAAGGCAATCCTGAGGCTCCTACAGGCAGGGCGGGCTCCTACAGGCAGGGCGGGCTCCTGGGTCCCTTGGAGAACAGCCTGGAGACGGTCCTCATGAGATTCATGTTTAAAATTCATGGTTCTCAACCGTGGGTGATTTTGCTCCCTGGGGAACATTTGAGAATTTCTGGAGACATCTTTGGTTGTCGACTCAGGGGATACTCTTTTTTTTTTTTTTTATTTATTTATTTTTTTTTAATTTATTTATTTTTCCCCTAAAGCCCCAAGCGATAGTTGTAAGTCATAGTTGCACATTCTTCTAGTTGTTGTATGTGGGACGCGGCCTCAGCATGGCCGGAGAAGCAGTGCGTCTGTGTGCGCCCGGGATCCGAACCCGGGCAGCCTGCATCGCAGCGCACGCACTTAACCGCTAAGCCACGGGGCCGGCCCTCAGGGGATACTCTTGACTTCTAGTGGGTGGAGGCCAGAGATGCTGCTAAACATCCTACAAAGCACAGGACAGCCCCTCTTTACAAAAAATGATCAGCCCAAAATGTCAACAGTGCCACTGTTGAGAAATTCTATCCAAAATGAACGTCACAAAGCCATCTGATAAAGCAGACTGTCCTGTTGCAGCGTGTCGCGTGCCTGGCTCTGCACCAGCTCCCGATAGGTGTGATGACTGCTTCTGTGTTCATTTCCCTTCTGTTCCTGCCCAGCTTTGGGGAAGGTCTTGCCTCAGTGTTGGAGCCTTGGCCTGTGTCCGTCCGCAGGTCAGAGTGCAGTGGTGACCAGCCCCTTCCTTACTCTGGTCCCCTGCATGCAGGGGCTGCAGGAGTCGATGAGGACCCTCGGGGGGGAGTGGACCCCCGGGGCAGGGGCAGCAAGGCCCAGCTGCGTCCACCCTGCTGGGTTTCTCACCCTATAGCCACATGGGACACACAGGTTTGGAGAGTCAGGAAAGCTGTGGCTTCCACCTGGTGGCCCCTAAGGAGGCTGCTCCCTTGGCCCTCAGAGGCTTTGAAGACCAGAGGTCTGGCACTGAAGTGGTTCTCTGTCATTAGAGTCAACACCCGAGTCGTCGTTCTTTCCCAGTGTGCAGGCTGCCAGCTTCCCGGCCAGCTGTCGTCTGTCTGTCTTTCTCTCACATCTCTGAACTCGGCTGCTTCCTCTTCTGGAACACCCTTTCCTCTGAGTTTCTTCTGGGAAATCCAGCCTTCAGGCCTCAGATGGACCGTCCCTCCCCCTGCAAAGGATCCCCTGACTTCCAGGTTGAGTTGGAGGCACTTCCTACTCTTCCTCCACGCTCCCGTAGCATCCTGCTCAACCCTCTTACAGCTCTGTCGCTCCGCATCGTGGGTCTCTCTGTGATTTTGCCTCCCCGGAGACTGAGGCCCCGAGGACAAGTTCCCTTGTGCACACCCACAGTAGTCGCTCGTTACTTGTTTCTGTTTTGAGTCTCCCCTTGGGAGCACAGGCTAGAGTTCGGGAATGTAACAGGAATGTTCTGATGCCACTGAGGTTGCTCTCCGCCTGAAGCCCAGGCACAGTGGTTACACTCAGAAGCTGTTTCCTTTAAGAGGAGTCTTTCCCGACTGCTGGCGTCACGACTGCATTTGAAAGTGTTTGCATGTGTCCACTGTTTATGGGGCCTCTTTCCCTTTGGAGTGTTCTGACAGAGAATGGAGTTTAACCTTTGAACACGTCTCCACCTGTGCTCCTTATACCTGCAGGGGTGCTCATTACCTGAGGACAACCACTCTCAGAGAACAACCCCTTCAAGCGAATCGACTCAAGATGGGGACACAATAAGAAAGAAAAGAAAAGAAAGGAAAGGAAAAAGCCACTTGATCTTCAAAAATGAAATAAAATTATGAAAATGTTTGTCTTCCATTTAACAAAACATAGGCTACATTTGCAACTACTCAAACATTCCTAGAATAGAGCAAGCTTGAGTCCTGCTGGTTTGGAGAAGGCTTCCGTTCTCAGACAAAATGTGTGATCGCTCAGCAGGGCATCCTTCTCGTTACCTCTGACTTTTGTTGCTTGGTCATAAGAGCCAGTTTTGCAAAAACATTTAATTATTTTATCAATTTTCTTAACCCATTGAGATTCAAATCATTCTCTTTTGAAGCCTGTCATGTCATTAACCTCATTGATTTTCTCTAACTGTTAACTGGTCTATTACATATGTATTTTTTGATGAATTGTTATTTTATCAAAATGAAACATCTTTTTAAAAGCATTTTACTTTGAATTCTATTTTTCAATGTTAATATCCTTATGTTCCGCCACTCATACTGTTAGTGTTTGCTGAACAATCTTTGGGCACACAAATATTGCCTAAGCGATCTTTTTCCATTGCTTTAGCATGAAATGATACAGTGAATTTCTCATCGAAAAGTCGCCTTCTTCGCCCCCATTCTCCACTCTGGTATCACAGGGTGCAGCACCAAGGAGAGAAGACTCTTCCTAAATCCATCCATCTTCAGGGGAGTCCAAAACAGATCTTGTGGCCTCTGAGGTCATGTAGGTGTGACCTTGACCTGCAGGTCAGAGTTTTGGGCCCTTTAAAAATGGCCTTTGAACAGGATCATCTTAGGGTATCTGCAGCTTTAAGTGAACAATGGTGATACCAGGGGGCACTCACGGGCCTTTTCTCCATGCGGGGCAGTGTGCTGAGAGCTGCTGCAGGTTCACGGGAGCTTACAACATCCCCATCAAGCGAGTCCCACGATTACTCCCACCATTAGTCTCATTCCACACATGAGAAGAGTCAGGCTCAGAGAGCTGAAGAGACCTTCCCAAGTCAGCCAGCTAGTGAGTGGCAGAGCTGGCACTTCTATCCAGAGCTTTCTGACTAGAGCACCTGCCCTTGGCTGTTTGTGTGTGTAAATGTGTCGGTACCTTACCTGAGTCCACCTCTGCTTCTCTCTGGCTACTTCCAATGTTGTCATTCACGTCTGTCTTTATATGGAAACCAGGTCAAATCCTCGTCCTAGGGATTCCTGTGCCTGACTCTCCTCCATCCCCTTCCCAGTTCTGCCTTCATCCTTGTTAGTGTAACCCAAATATAACTGGGGTCCCAAGTAGTTCAGTCTGTGGGCATGTTGTAGTCACAGACAGAATCACAGCCACAAAGTAATCTAAAGGACTTCCAAGTTTGTGCTCAGGCCCTTGAGGAACTACCACAAGAGAAAACACATCCTTAATTTCAGCAAATGTTTAAAACTCCTTCCTCTCCAGCACGGCTAATTTCATCCTTCTAGTAGAGGGTGACGGCTCTCCAAGGCTCTCTTTCTTCCCCCCTCTTGTCTCCTGGTCCTCCAAATTCTCCCTGAAGACACTCAGCCGGGGCAGCTGCCTATTTCTGTTCTTCTTCATCTTTTCCCATCTCAGCTGCTTATGACGGAGACCAACTTGACCTCTCTGGTGTCTTCAGTTTTCTTTTTCCTTTGTCTATTATCCAGACCCAGCACAGCCAAGGATAGGTCAGCTTATGACGCAGGAAGCAAGAATCCCTTCCCCTGGTAAGCTAGAGAGAGAGAGGGAAGGTGGAAAACTCCCAGACGTCAATACGTTGAGTCTCTGTAGCACGCGTGAGAGGCACTGAGCTGCCCTGGGTGTGAGGACGGCTTGTCGCTCCTAGCAGGAGAGGAGAAAGTATCTCAAAGAGAGTTCTTTGTGCCCTGCCCCCTTGCTTCCCTGTTGAAACCTCCTATTCCCTGTGTACAGGGACCCATTTATTTTAAAAGATGTTAGCATCCAGCCAGCATGGTGGGCCACCCATGGCTTCCACCACCGGGGCAGGTGTGGGGAAAGTGGGCCGGCGCAGCGCAGGCCCGACATCTGCCCTGACAGCTAGCATAGGCATTTTCATCTTCTCCAAGCAGCACTGCAGCCCTCTCCCCCCGCCGCAGACTTTTTATAACAGCAATAAGACAACTCTGGGGCAGATCATCTTGTGTGAACTCCAGGGAGCAATCATCTAATCACATTCCGGGCTGATTTGAGGCACTCAGCTGGACCAAATGCTTCCCCACACCCCAGGAGCGGCTTTATGAGGCGGCAGCCAGGCCTCATCGAGCCTTATTGCTTAATTAAAAACAAATTCCCAAGTAATTTATTTTTTTGTTTTTTATTATTTTTTTATTTTTTGTCTTCCCATAAAACTTCCAGCAGCGCAAAGGGTGAGGGAGAAGTGGGGAGTCGGGAGAGGAAGCTGAGATTTACAGCTCTCGCTGCTGTGCTGGCCGCCCTGCCGCTCAGGGCTGGCGGGAAATGGAAAGGCATCCTGTGGGGCCAGGCCCTGCCCGCTCCTAGAGAGTGAGGGACACACAGCGTGGAGGCATGTGGGCGGGTCGCCTGCGTTTATTAAGTGATAGCATCCCTCAGCCTGACTCGGGGTTTTCGTGGGACTGCTCTGGGCTGAGACAGACCCTCCAAAATGCCACCGCCCTGACTGGGGCCTTAACCCTCCTGCCCTGGTCCGCTGGGGAACCCTCGGTGCTGCCCAGCCCCTGCTTGGGCCTCCAGAGTACATTCTGTGCCCCAGGGGAGCCCGGCCAGGACCAGGGCCCTGGGCACCCTCAGCCCCGCCCTGCTCACTACTCCCAGGATGACTCTGGGACACTCGCTTTTTCTCTCTGGGCCTCAGTTTCCCCAACTGGACAGGAGAGCAGGTCCCACGTGCCCCACGTGGTGATGAGGGGATCAGGGGGACAGTGCTGCTGGAGAAGCTGGGGTCCCTCTCACTTGCAGGGACGAGGCAGACAGGGCTGGTGCTGGGATGGTTTTAAACAGGAGACCAGAGTCCCGGCTTCCCAGCTGAGGCGGCGAGTGCGGGGGCCTCTCCGGCTCCTCTGTACCAGGACTCGCGGAGAGAGAGCCAGCAGAAAGGAGTGTGTGCGTGCTCGTGCGTGCGGGAGTGCTGGTGGCCATGTGCGTGTGTGTGGGCGGGCACGAGTGTGTGTCTGCAGAGGTCCGAGTGTCTCCCGCCGCCAGCACATTTGTCTGTGGGTGGAGAGCAGCATTAAAGGGCACATACCCTGGGGCCAAGCTGTCGGGGCTAAAAGCCCAGCTCCACTTTGGGCAAAAGACTTAATCTCTTTGGGCCTCAATTTTCTTATCTGCAAAATGGGAATAATGTTAGCATTGAGCTCCTCGGGTTGTTGTGAGGATTAAGTTAGTTAATGCATGCAAAGTGCTCAGAACAGCACCTGGCAGGTGCTTCATCAGTGTTCGAACATCTGTGAGCATGTGCACGTGACTTCTGAAAAATTACATGTGACATAAACTTCTCCAACTCAGGTCACATTTTCCTAAAGACTTTAATTTTAAAAATTAAGGATGAGATTTATAGAAATAATTTTGTTCCTATGATAAAATAAAATCAAGAAAAAGTGGCAAATCTTTACATGACAAGTCATGATTTATGCAGGAATGAGTGTGGCTTATACTCATATAAGCAGGGATGAGTGTGGCTTATACTCATATAAGCAGGGATAAATTACGCACAGAACTGAAAAGAAAATCAAGTTCTTTTCTCTGCCTTACAATTCTGATTGCCTGAAAAATTGCCTCCTGAGACTGCAGTTTCCGTGGGAGAGCTCTGCTCCAAATGCTTTTCTCCTCCTCACTTTCCTCTCCTCAGACCCCCATCAGCACTTCAGAAATAAGAGCCAAGTGGCCAAAATCAGCTCTGGGAAGATTGCAATCACGAGCAGAGATCATAAGCCACTTCAAAAAGAGGCAGCCTTTCCTGGGAAATGTAAGGGTCATTCATTAGCATCTGCAGAAAAACATGCCTGAGAAGAGACTGCAGAGAGCTGCTGTCACAGAAGGAAAGGGCTTGACTGTTGATCACAGTGGGCACCCAAGGGGCCAGAACAGGGGCCCCTGAGAGTGACCATTGGCAAGGCAGGCTGCTTGAGGGTCTCTGAAGTGGCTGCTTGGTTCTCCTTCTCTGAGAAGCTGGCAGGCCTGGCGGTGGCCTAGAATTGCCTTGCTGAATTTGTGGGGGTTTGCAGGGGGAGCAGCGGCTTCCAAGCCAGACACCCAGGGTTCACACCTCTGCCGTCCGCCTTGCCAGCCGAGGGCTACTGCCGGGGCTTCTCGTGAGTCTGATGTTGCAAGCTGCCTCGCGGGCTGTTGCTGGGATTTGAAGTGGTTATTTGTAGAGCACACAGTGGTGGCTTAATCAGTGTTAGTTCCAGGGCAGATACTCTTGGGCCTGCGCATAGCCTGTAAGATCAAGTCCAACAGCCAGGCTCTGCATCTATTACCCGCGAGCTTCCTCCAAAGCTCCAGAATGCACCTGTGTCCACCTGCACAGTGGTCCAGACGTGTCAGGGGATCAACCCGCGGGGACAGCCCTCACCTCGTGGCCTTGGTGGACAGACACCCCAAATCCCTCGGCCTTCAGGTGGGATGACCCCGCCAGGGGGTCTCTGCAGTCTCCCACGGCCCCCATGGGATTGGGCTCCGCTGCCCACAGCTCCAGCTCACCTGAAAACACGCCCTTGGTAGGCTGCCTGCCCTTTTCTGTCTCCCTTCCCCTCCCCGCTGCCAGTGTGTGTCCTTCTCCTCCCAAATAAACTCCTTGCATTAACATCCTTTTTCTGGGCAAACCCAAACTAAGACAGTGTCTTCCCCTGGTCATATCCCTCCCCTCCTTGCTGTTGGATTGGCAAAGACTTGACACAACAGTCATGTCAGCTCCCCCAAGCCCATCCTTCTCATTAAAACCCAGTACACCAGCCCTGAACAGACAGCTTTATCTACTGTTTTTACCTGCCCGGTATCCCTTCTCCTTTCTGACAGAAATACCTGTTTTCCTTGGGGAACAGAACTTTTCTCCCTCTTCATTCCTTGGATTCAGAGAGGATGACCTCAGTCTTGGCCCTAGAGAGAGACATGAGATGAGAGTCTGGACAATCAGAGCACCGTGCTCCCCAGCTCCAATTGATTCAGGGACACGAGCGTGACCTGAGCTAGGCCAATGAGAACCCGCCTCCGGCCCTCCTCTGCGGTGTTGGGAAGGAGAGATCTTACCCTGGGAAGTGGAGGCTGGTTGAACGTGAACCAAATACTCCCCAGATCAGTCGGCAAGAGCCTGAGTGAGAGCAAAGCTGACACGGAAGCAAACGCAGTTAAGAGACGAGAAAGGTGGCTTCCTGCCAACATCTTGGAGTCCCCAAGTCCAGCCATGCCTGAAGTGACAGTGGCCCCCATGCTTTTCAGTTACGTCGACCAATATATCCCCCCCCTTTATTCCATCAGCCACCTTTGAGTCCAGTTTCTGCACCTTCAGCTGACGGACACATGGTTCAATCCTGCCTGGCCTCGTGACCGGGAGGAGAGGACGTGTGGCCTTGGCTGAGACTTTGCCTTCTGGGGTGGGGGTTCTTTACGGGTAAAGTTGATTTAAAACTACTACATCCAAAGGGTGTCTGAGGAAGAAATGTGTCCACACCACTCATCAGGTAGGGTGTTTTCAGCTGCAAGTAGAAAAAATTCCAACTCAAATTGGCTTAAACAAGAAGGAATTTTATTATCTTACGTAACAGGAAGTGGAGAAGTAAGAGAGCTTGGAGAACTGGTTGACTCAGTGGCCATGTCCTCCAGGCCCCTGGTTCTCCCTGTTCCTCTGACACGTGGTCGTCAGGGCTTTCCCTCACACTGGCTTCTGGGCTCAAGATGGCGGCTGAGTTCCAGGCTTCTCATACCTACATAGCACCATCTAGAGGAGGAAAAGGGATTTATTATTGGCCCTCTTTCTTTTTTTTTTTTGGAGGAAGATCAGCCCTGAGCTAACATCCATGCCAATCTTCCACTTTTTACTGAGGAAGATTGGCCCTGGGCTAACATCTGTGCCCATCTTCCTCCACTTTACGTGGGATGCCGCCACAGCATGGCCCGACAAGCCGTGCATCACCCGGGATCCGAACCCGGGCTGCCAGCAGCGGAGCACGTGCACCTAACTGCTGCGCCATGGGGCCAGCCCTTGGGCCTCTTTCTATACCTCATTCTTAGAAACAAAGACACTCTCCCCGCACACCCAGTAGAATTTTCTAACAGTCAGGATAAATTAGGTTACACAGAAATAACAGAAAGTCTCAAAGTCTCAGTGACTTAAAACAACGAAGGTCTCTTTTTCACTCATGCTACATGCCATAGTGGCTCAGTAAAGGGGCTCTCTCCTTGAAGTCGCTCAGGGACTCAGGCTGAGGGGGCAGCCGCCATCTTGAATGTTGTTGGTGGCCGTGCTGAAGGGAAAGAGAGCGCTGGAGGGTTTCATACCTGCAGTTAAATGCTCTGGCTTAGAAGTAACACACATAGCTTCTTCTCATGACTCATTGGCCAAGGTTAGTTTTATGGCCCCACTTAAACATTCCCCTCCCAGACATGGGGAAAATGGGAAATACTGGGCAAACAGCACTAACCATTGCCGCAACTGCTCTCATTGGCCAGGATAGGGCTACACGCCCATTTCTAAACCAATCCCTGGCAAGGAGAGCAGGATGCCCATGATCAGTTAGAGCAGTTGTTTGGACGGGGCATGGACTCCAGCCAGTCAACTGTAAGAGCTCTGCAATCTGTGCCTGCGTCTAGAGACAGCGAGACCCACAGCGCGGGGGTCCGCTGGTATAAACCAGGGGAGGAGGAGCGGCTGTGGGGAGCTGTCTCAGCTCAGATGGTGCTCTGTGTCCCCAGGGAGCGGCTCTAGTCCAGGCTTTCTACCAGAGCCAAAGCTTCTTCCAAAATGGCCTTGGGAGCCTGACCCAAGCAGACCCAAGGGTGGTGCCTGGGGTGATCCTGGGAGTCCTCATAGGCAGGGGGCAGAAGGCTGCTCCTGGCATCGATCCCATGTGCCACTCCTGTGCTCATTGGGATTATCTCAGAGCAGGCAGCTCAGGGACGGTTTCTGTAGGGTTCCACCAGAGCAGAGCCACCAGGAGATTATATGTCACAAAGGATTTAGTGTAGGGGTTTGACCTTATCCCCATGGGAGCTGCTTAAACAGTCTACACGAAGCCACTGCTTCTGTGTCTGGTCCTGGAACCTGGAGCCTGGCGACTGGGAAGGGAAGATGGATATAAGGTGGAGGACGCAATGACAAACTGGACCTGCGAGGCTGGCACCGCAGCCGCCTCTCGCCATCTCCTGGCCTCCAGTTTCACCCATGAGGATGTCGTGCAGGAGCAGCTGGCACCCTTCCTCACAGCCCGGGACTGGAGAAGCTGGAGGCACTGTGGGCCTGGCTGCTGCCCACCCCACACCAGCGACCCGGCAGATCTGCCCAACAGGAGCCACAGCGGTACCTCGTAAAACACATCCTGCAGTGCCCTCCAGAGCACTGAGGAGACAGCTGCCACTGCAGGCCCCCGCCCCATCTCAGGCCCAAGGTCTCTTGTGACCACCCATGCTAACTGGGAACTACGCACAGAGAGGAATGCTGGGAAATGTAGTTCCAGCCAAGCTGAATTGACCTGGTACCAATCCACTCCTTGCTACCTGTTCCCTCCTTCAGGAGCTCAGTGGAGTAGACATCTATTATTATTATTATTATTGCCACCAGCGTCCGTCCTCCCTTCTTTGTAAAATAGCACCTTGATGCCTTTGGGGAACCATCTCTTTCCTACTATCAATCCAGGTGTTGCCAGGGCAGAAGTATGTGACTCAGGCCTGGCCAACCAGTGTCCTGGATGCCCCAGCCACAGCGCAGGGATGGGGACCATCCCTGATCCAACGGTCCAAATGATCCAAACGGTCAAATGAAGGTGAAGGAGTCCTGGAACTGGGGAAAGGGCTACCAGAAAGAAACATTCCTTTTCTTTGCAGCTAGACTTCAGCTAGACTGAGAGAGTGTGAGGCTTGAGCAACTATCTTGTGCTGTAAAGGGAGAACTTGTCTGCTCAAGGAAGCAACACAGAGCAAAGACATGGCAAGAGAGAAGGGGTCCTGAAGATGTTGTTTCATCTGGATCAAACCATTCCTGAAGGCAGTCCTATTCTGACCCTTCAATTATAGGGTCCAATAAATTCCCTTTTTGTTTAATCGGTTTGGATTGGATTTTCTGTTACTTATATCCAAAATAGTCCCAATCAATGCACCCAATGGCCATACACCAAAGTTGGTGTCTCTTGGAGTGGTAACTCAGAGACCTGTCCACATGGGACCACAGTGGAGAAGACACACTCACCTCAGTGCTCCTGAGCCAGAGGAGATCCTGGGCTTCCGTGGAGGGGTGGACCAATCGGGAGCAGGGTAGTGAAGTAAGAGACCTGGGCTGGAGTCCAGCTCCAACCCTGACAATCCACAACCCTTGGGCTCGCCCCTTCAGTCCTCTGCACTGTTTCCTTATTGATGTACTCCCAGCGTCCCTTGTTCCTGGCGCCGGTGCAGAGGTCCCCAGCACGGACCTCACCCAGTGCTCCTTGGGGCTGGAGACCTCCATTGTCACATGTAACTGAAACAAAACATGAGAGAATAAAGCCAGCTGACCTACGTGTGGTCCACTCTGGTGTTTTATCCTGCAGTCCATCCTAGTTCATCAAAAAAAACAGCGTGCGGGTCGCCACCTGCCGTGTCAACTACCAGACTCATTACAGTCATCTGGAAACAACTTTCTGGAAACGAGAGTCCAAAGCGCTCTCCACAAGGCATGCTGGGACATGTGCCGCCTGTGGGCAGTTACTGGGTACGGTAGTCAGGAGAAGCTCTCAGAAGCACGGTCCTGCCACGGAGGTGGCCCTGAAATGACCCACAGGTGCTGACCACGCCAGCTGGGGGTGCCTCGCCCATCCATTCTCGGGGCGCTGACATGGAGTCGGCTTTGTGGGGGCCTTGGGATCAGGGCGGATCTCTCCGAGTCCACAGTCAAGGAGGCAGGCGCGTGCACACAACACAGTGTGGAAGGGTCCTGAGACATCCAGTCCCCCAGGGTCTGGGCTCTGGGCCGAAGGGCACTGTGCGTGGCCATGGAGACCAGGAGACTGGGGACACGTTGGGATGGCGAGGCACCGCTGCCTGCCGCCCCCGGCCTCAGACTGGCTCCTGGAGCCCATGAACTACCCATCCCACAACAGAAAAGCCAGGACAGAGCGAATCTTGATGAGACTCCTCCATGCCTGGCCCTCCTCGCTTCTTACAACGCGGGGGCAGTCTTCCTATTTCATGAGGAAGCCCTGACTCGCGGGCGCCACGCCCGAGGCCACGCAGCGTGGATGTGTCTAAGCTGGGATGGGAACCCGGAGTTTTTTCTACCATGGGCCCCACCCCCGGGAATTCTGGTTTCATTTTGGAGGGTGAGGTCTGGGTTTTGGTATTGCTTGAAAAACTCCCCAAGTGGCTCTAATGTGGAGCCAGGATTGGGCAGCACGGAGCTAGGTGTAGGCTCTTCCTAAGAAAGGCCGGCTCCATGCCTTCCTGTGCGCACCACCCCGGACTGGGGGGTAGCCCTGGGCAGCTGCCGCAGGCCGAGCACTCTCCCACAGGGTGGGGACCCACCGCCCGTAGGAAAGCGGCTTTGCTCCCCAGCACTGGGGGAGGGAGACTGGCTAAGACGGGGGTCCGGGAAGGCTTCTCTGAGAAGGTGGCATTTAGTCTGCTCTTTCAACCCGGAGCTAAAAGAAGCCAGACATTGACCCAGAAGGACCATCCCAGTAGGGCTGGAGTAGGGTGAGCAAGTGCCCGGGCTCGCTTGGGACTGTGCTAAAAGCAGGGTGGTCCCAGGCGGTCCCTGACCAGTTGGTCCCTGCAGCCTGGAGCTACGGGACAGGAGGGAGCGTGGTGGGGGGGTGCTGGAGGGAGGCAGGGATTTGAGTATTTTACTCTCCGTGA